TAGGGTTTAGGGGACGCGGAGTCGTAAAAGAAAATGGAAACTACTATGATGGGCTGCATAGGATTTAGGGGTTAGGGTTGAGTCTGAAAAAAACGCGGTTGTAGTTATGGGTTTGGGGTTTAAGGCTGGCGGTGTGGGATTTAAAGGTAAGATTGCCATCCTCCCCGGCACACTGTATTCGGACAACTTAGGACGCGTAGACGATTGTAGAGGTATATGGGGGGATACACCACAATACGTACACCATTCTCACAAGGCCCTTTCAAGGCTTCATGACCAGGTCGCTTGAGGCTACAGATACTGCCATCCTCTCAGAGCGTGCTTACTGGCAGTTAGTAGAAACCCTAAACCCCATGAAGGCAGGGAACGTGGGGACGATGATCAGCGACTGTATAGCAAATGTTGTGGGGACACATCGCTTCGTTTACTACTGACCACCGCTCCGTGCAGCGTCTTTAAGGATTAGTTTAGGGTTGAGGGTTTTCACCTTAGGGTTTCAGGCTTGGGGCTATAGGGCTTCAGGCCACTTATTGCATCCTGCCCCCCTGGTTGGGGATCAAGGTTTTGGGGTCTAGGGATCAAGGCTTAGGGTGTAGGATCTGAGGATTTAGGGCTTTGAGGTTGTAGGCTGTATGGGATTTCAAAAAAACAGCTCCCGTCTATGTTCTTTATTGCCGTTATTCATCATTGCCATGACTATCACTAGTATCACTGTATTCATTATCGCTCACATAATCGTGTTCCAATTATACGAATATGGTTATATGGCTATCATTTTCCGGTTGAAATCCTGCCTTAAGGACCGCAGTAAGATCCCTGAAGCGTGCAACTGAAGCGCTAATCCATTATGGGACAGCCGAAAGCGACCTTGAGGTCCATCGAGGCAAAATCGCTGATGGGTAGGCCTGGCATCGCTCAGTGCCACGCCTATCCTAGGTCTCACGATAGAACACCGTAGCCAAGATTTAGAGACGTTATGACTGAATTTTGATAGTAGCTTGAGTCCCAGGATTCTGGTGGTACAATAGCCCTGATGTTGCTGATTCTGTTCGATACGATAAAGTAGTCTGCTGACAGACTACCATACTGCGCTCGGGTCGCATCAAGGAGCGGTGGTTGAATTGAGGGCTTTGCGTCCCAAGCGCCGGCAGCCACGAGACGGGTGTGCAATCTCAAGTCATGTTGCTCGCTGCAAGGACGTTTCAACGTCTGAATGCTGGCTACGTCTGCCTACGCTGGCTAGTTTGGTTCCATGCGGTTGCTCTCTGAGATTCTCCAAGCAAATTCCTGATGCATCTTGCACACAAGCCCGCCTGAGCACTCGGCTTCCATGCAGTAGAGGTGGTACATTGTGAAGAGACCCCTGCCAGGGCACAATGCTGCTGCTTGCGAAATCTTTATTTCCTATTGTTTGGATTTCTATTACCAGGACTTTATACTCCTGTTGCTTGCTGCCGTGGCGCCATGATAAGTTCAAATGGTATCCAGCTGTCCTTATACTGCGAACCCAGAACCCTAAACCTCCAAACCTCAAAATCTAACCCCAAGCCTGATCAACAACTGCACCAAAATCTCCAGCCCTAACTCCTACACCGACCCTATGATCCACCCGAAAACTCCTAATCCACGATCAACCCTATCTTTCCAAAACCTTAACTCTTGAATTCTTAGAGCATGGAACCCTGAACCCTAAACCCAAACCCCCTAAAGGGGCCCTATAGGGATGAGCTGTCCTTTCTAAAGGATGGCTATATGAGGCATAGTCTTAACTCCTTAAAGGGGGTCCTATAGGGGATTATATAGTGGACTACTACAGGGTATATTAAGGGGGATACTAGGAGTTTAGACTATGGCTCATATGAGGTATAGTTAAGCATGGAGAATCAGATGGAAAGAACATGGAAACTGGGATTCTGTAGGATTTCTAAGGGTTATATGAGCTATAGTCTAAACTCCTAGTATCCCCCTTAATACTAGAGTAGTCCCCTACAGAATCCCTTATAACCCCTTGAGGGAGTTTAGACCATAGCCCATATGGGGTTCCATGTCAAGGTTAGTTTGGGAAAGGGTATAAGCCCAAAGCACTGTATATCACCAGGTAGGAACCTCATGTACCCCCTACATATTCCTCAGAAAGCCCCTAACAGTGGTTCCATATAAATCCCTACATAGATCGTTTGGGGCAGGTAGTGGTAATAACCCTGACTGCCCCCAGTCCCTAAACTCTAAACCCTTAAACACTTAACCTCTAAACCCTAAACACCTAAACACCCTAAATCCGAAACCCTTACCTCCTGAACGCGGCTAAACCCCCAAAACCCCTAAACCCTACGCCCTTAACCCCTTGAACCCCTGAGCCCAAAACTCTCAACCCTTAGGCCTGTAGGAGGGCGACTCCTCCACGTCATGGCGCTGCTCCACGAAGTCTCAGGCAAAGATCGGTAGAGTTGACTGTATGGTTGAGGCTTTAGGGTGCATGTATGTTGTGTCTGCACACGTATATACGTACATAGGTATATATATATATATTTCCACTTCTGGGTCATGGTATGCTCTGCGAGGTGCAAGGATATTGTTGGGAACTCACAAGTGCCCGCGTCATAATGAGAAGTCATGTGCAAAGAAGGACTTACATCCTGTTAGCATGGGGGGCTCTGCTCATAGGGCCTAACAGGCAACACGTCCAAAGAACCCGCCTAAGTTGACAACCGAGCTGTTGATGAAACCCCGGATTTCACAGGTGACCTCATGTTCCACACTTGGGTAGCGTTTTTTGAGGGTTGAACCTAGTAAGATTATATGCCTTATATAGAATTCTATACTCCAAAAGGAGGATATAATCTTACTCTATCTTGGGTTCCATAATGTCCCAAAATAAAGCACTACTCACATGGCTTAGCGCTAGGCGCCCCAAGACTCCCTGCAAAGCCCCCAACTCACTGCCGCTTCAGCCACGTACTTCGTGTAGCTGCACCCCGGAGCTCTCGGAGTCCCGAAGGGACCTGAGTTAAGGGAACCTACATACTATAATAGGAGATAATGGAAAAGAAAATGGGGGCTACTCCAGTATAATGAGAGAGAGAGAGAGAGAGAGAGATATATATATATATTGGATTTGGTTTAGGGTTTAGGGTTTAGGGCTTTTGGGGTTCAAGGTTTAGGGGTTTGGGGCTTTTGGGGTTATATGGGGGTTATGTTAGGATACTGACAAATAAAATGGAAACTACTACAGTTGAGGGTACCTGTGGAGCTCGGGTTGTAGATATTTTCAAGATAGTATGTGTAGCGGGTCAGAGGTCGCAGATAGATCCTTGGAGATTCACGTGGGCTCTGAGCAGATTGCAGGGTACAGTCATTTCGTGAAACCTTGGCCCCACTGTAGATGAATTGCGCATGGACTGTGCACGCAATTCCTCGCATCAAGTCCAAGAAACCCCAACCTTGATATCGCCTCTCTAAGGAGGTCACATCTAACTCAGCATAGACTTGTACAGTTCCCCGGCAGATTGATGCTTGGATCTGGCATCTTCCAGGCATTGTAGCCCCAGATTCCATGTTCATGGCCCAAGCTTCGAAGCTCAGCACTTATAAACATCGGGAGCCCGATATAGAACCGGAAATGGTGGTAATGATGGCATAAAAGTAAGAGTACAGGCTTAGTCATTGCATGGCAGGTGTTGGCTATGTCATAGCGCTTCCTGGAGATGCATCCTATGTTCTGCATCCGCATCTTTACTCTGAAATAAGAACCCCTTCAGAAAAAAGCATGAAAGATGTTTTTGGGCATGGTATCTTTTGTAACCTGGGTATACCTTGGTTGTCCAGGATGCATGGAGTGTGCTGCTCTTTGCTTTGCGTATACGGGTCCTTGAAGGGGTTTCTGGGACTTATGCAAGATGGACAATGAAATGGATATTGGGGGATTGAGGATTTAACTTCCACTTGTGCAACTTCTATAAGGTATTTTAAGGGGCCACAGGATATGACCTGGTCATAACTTGAGCTTAAACCCTAAACCCTAAGCTCCAGAGGTGTTAACAAGGTGAAAGCCCATTTGGAGCATGAAACCAAAGGTGCCTCAGCACTCCTTTATATGATTATAGTAGTTTCCATTTTATTTTCCATTACCCCTATATAACCCCAATATAACCCCAATCTATACCTATATAACCCCATTATTGATATATCAGATTGAAGTCTTGCGCTGTGTGGGGGTTCCATGCCCAATTGGGACCCCCACAGTCCTTTTGCAATCTCCACATATAAGAATCCCCCATGCGTTGCACCACTTCTGCTTGTTGCTGGTCTGGAGGAAGGCAGATTTACCGACTCAGCAACCCGAACGTTCCTACAATCAGCACAGTTTATTGCAACGCAGTGGCGTGTTCGGAGTGATCCTTGGCGCATGCGGTCCACATCCCAAGGGCTCAGCCACAAAACCCTACCACAGGCCCCAGATGAATTGGAATATGGTCTTGGGGTATACTATTTACAAACCTCTTATGGATTAGCCTTTTGGCTGTTCAGACTTGTACATTATCCCCTCCTAACCCCCGTCCCCTATATCTACTGCAGTGCAGACGTTACACCCCGAATCGGGCAATTGGCACAAGCGCAGCCAGGCCACGGTTTACCATTATACACGCAGAGTAAATTGAATCAGGGCTGGGATGATTTTCAAGAGTCCGTGCTTCGGTCTAGAGTCCAGCGTAGATCTGGGGTTTCCCTGTACCTTTGGGGGTCCCGATATCAAGGGTTATAATATCTTGGGGTCTACATTGGGGTCCCACTATTTATGGAAACTACCATGAAGCAAAAAAACAAAGGAGCTTTAGTCTAAACGCCTAGATTTAGTATCCCCCCTTTATGAGCCTTATAGTAGTCCCTATATAATCCCCTGCATAATCCCGTGAAGGAGTTAAGACTATGGCTCAAAGAAACATCAAGGGGAACCGGAGCCCACGAGGCTCAGCCCCCGCATAAAAGCCTGGCCAAGCCTCCGGTAGTGGATGTCCACAACATGACCCAGCTGCTCCGTGACCAATGCAGAAGCAGATGCCCTGAACTTCTCCTCATCGTAGGGCATGTCCTTCCTGGAGGGTGGGGACAGGCCATGATACCGGAGCAGTCCCTGCACAAAAAGGACTACCAACCGTCCCTTTACCCATTCAGCCTGCTAAGTCTCGTGGAAAGAGACTACAAGTCGCCGTAATGGAACCACATTTTGGCAATCTATCATATAAACATTGCCTCTGTTCAGCTTAGTACAGGGACATCAAATTCTAGGTTGTAATGTTGTCCAATTGAATAACCATCCAACACAACTAACCCGTCTATGATGCCAATTTTCATTTCATTGTCAATATTCTTTTTCCATTGGGCGCAACATTTGTTAAAGTCAAGCCCTAAGCCGTTTCTATCAGTTTCAATTTCATGTTCTATGTTCTTTCTGCGTTTTAGCCTCCTTTATTGAGGTAGCATCCCAATTCGCTCCTATATAATCCCCTATACCGCAACAAGCACCCAGATTCAGTCCTAACATTTCATGGCTTGCCGGTGCTTCATGGGAGCGGGCCAGCGAATACAGGGACTATTCCAGGGAACTATGTGGGGGTTTCCCACAATTAGGGGTACCATTTTGGGGATCCCTATAATAAGGATTATAATATTTTGGGGTCTATATTGGGGTCCCCTTATTTTGGGAAACTACCATGTGAAGATGCGTACAGGGATCCACTTCTCCACCCTCCCTTAAGCACCATTAAGATGTGGGTTAGTTCCTGAAACGCAGGTCCCCACACCAAGGCTCTGCTTGGCCAATCTAAGGCTCCCAGGGTTCAAAATGGCCCCACACAAGGTGTTGCAGGGTTTAGGGTTTAGGGGGATGGAGGTGAACTTGCACCACCTAATACACTTTATCCCTAAGGGTCCAAGTACCTAACAACCATATAATTCCCCCAAACCTGTACTATAATTACTATTACCATAAACCCAAGTACCTAATTATTGGGTACTTGGACCCTTTGGGTATTATACCCCAGTAGTTACAGTACTTTGGGGTTCCTAAGTGGTGCAGAATTTTTCTCCAATCCACCCTACTAGCAGCCTACAGAGTGTAAAGTAGGACATATTTGTGGATTTTGAACCTGAGGGAAAACGCATTCCTATACCCTCAAAGGGTCCAAGTACCCAATAATTAGGTACTTGGGTTTATGGTAATGATAATTATAGTGCAGGTTTGCGGGAGTATATGATTATTAGGTACTTGGACCCTTAGGGTAACCCCTAAACTTGTCCAGATATATTTAGATAAAACGGGCCAGGCAGCAGCGTTAGCTTCATAGCAGGCAGCGTGTGCGTCACGCGCCGCTTCCCGTTGAGCAGCTCCTTGGTGCTGAAGATTTCAACAACACCGTGGAGAAGGAGGGAGTTGAATATGTACTGCACGTCTGGTAGATGCCTAGGACGCTAGAAGGACCGAGCGCCGGAGTCTGAAGAAGCAGAAGAAGAAGAGCTACGAGAAGCTTCTGTTCGGGGACCGGCGGAGCGCAGTTTCTACGTTCTAGGGCAAAGAGGTCGAGTGACACCTGAAGACCAAGACCTTGAAAAACACAAGCATTATACGTATCTTTCTCTCCGTCTCTTGGCAGGGACACGTAGCACCGCGCTTTTTGATGCGAGAAGGTCCATGAGAAATGTTATAACCTCTTCATAACCGGTTTCGCGGACCTGTTTGAGGAACACGCTACTTCAGACATGCATGCATTTCCCTAAGGATCCAAATAGCCCAATGCAGGGAATATCTATAGGCTTTAGGGCCCACTGTAGGTATTGTTTGTATACATGGCCTCTTAGGTTTTCGTTAGCAGCCTGTGACTAAGGGTCTTTTGCCAACGCACGGAGCAATGAAAGAGCTAGGCTTCAGCCTTATGAACAGCCTGGAGTTCAAGTGCATCTCAAGGCGGTTTAGGGTTTAGGGTTTAGGGTCTTAAAGTTGTCAAACCTGTTTAGGGTTTAGGGCTGGGGCAGAACCGTTCTTGGCATGCGGAGGCGACTGCAACCGATCCATTCAAGCCCATGTTCCGATTCCTGCTGTTTCCTTGGTTACTGTTCAGGAACTTAAATTAAGTTACCATAATGGGAATATGTAGTAAATAATAGGGTTTCCCCAATATAGTAACTTAAATTAAGTTCCTTAACAGCAACGCAGTTTCCTGTGGTTGACAAGGGGCTTAGTACTTGAAAGTCAAGGCAACTGGCCCCAACTGAAAATTAAAGGTCTGAGTGGCACCATATGGGTGGTTGTCAAAATTATGGTCCCTTTTTGGGTACCCTAAATATTAGGTGCCGTATTATAATGGGGATCCAAAAAGGGACTTTACAACCACCCATATGGGAAACCTCATAGGGATCGAGACGTGGAAGCCTCTGAAAATATTCCCAGCAATGCTTGAGAGATGCCTTGCTCCCCCCTGATAAGGCCCATGTGTTGCGAACTACAACAGCAAGCTAAGTGACCGTGGTTTGGAAACCTCAACTTTAAAAATGTCAGTTCTAAAGCGGCGTAAATCATGTGTTCAGCGGGCTCGTAGTTTCTGGGACACTATGGGAAGTGTTGTGAGGCGTCTCGGGGCTGGGAGCAGAAGCCGACATCGTGTAAAAGGGCGTGTCAGGAATTATGCCCTAGACTGCGCAAATGAACAGAATAAAGGACTATACCATACACCAATTATCGTGGGAAAATCCTGATGCTATTGCTATGGTGGGAGTTTCCAGGCCCCCCTGATACACACCTGTTCACTCCCAGGATTGGACCCTAACGTTGGGAAACCCTGATTTACCCTCCTAGAATATCCGACTTGGAGGGTCAGGGGATTTAGTACACCCCCGGGACGAAAGTTTCGACATGCGGGAGCTTCCAGCTAGCCTACAGTACCGCGGAGAAGCGGAAAGGGCA